TACTACTACTACTACTACTACTACTACTACTACTACTATCATCATATTTTACTCACGCTGGAAATGTATGCACTCCGGTACCTCTGTCAGACTTTTCCAGTTTAGCGGGTGGTCGTATTCTACCCTACTGCTGAGAAAGCACTCTTGCCTCCCCAGGCAGTAGTCGTAGGACCAGCAGTTGGTCGCCTTCTCCTCCAAACACATCTTGGCACAGTTGTCTTCCTTCACCAAGCCCTGGTACAGGAAATCTGCCTTCTCGGGGGCCACCTTGCCGGGGTTAGGTATGAAGTCCCAAATGTATCCCTCTGAAAATGGAACGCACGTCGTTTTTATGTTAGTAGTATTATAAAGACTTAATTATTTTGATTATTTGAAATATGAAGTGGTTGATTGATTGTTTGTTGGAGTGACTGATTGATCGATCAACTGATATGTGATAGTTAGATAGATAGATAGATAGATAGATAGATAGATAGATAGATAGATAGATAGATAGATAGATAGATAAGATAGATAGATAGATAGATAGATAGATAGATAGGTAGGTAGATAGATAGATAGATAGATAGAGAGATTAATTAATTGATTGACTGATTGATTGGTAGATTGGTTCTTTGGTTGATTGGTTGGTTGGGTCAGATGCTCAGTTCCTAGTTTTGGGAAATTTGACGTTAAACATTTTGAGTTTCACATGTCAGGCTTTTCAGAATTCAATTCTTTGAATATGTTGATAAACTCCGAATATTCTTACGATTTTGATAAATCAGAAAGAACATTGGGTTTCTGACATCATGGTCTTTGTAACTCAAAACAGGCCAAATGTCATATAAAACTTTGTAATTCTAAGGTAGCGTATTGTTAAAAGAGTCAAACAGTTTTTGACTTTCTTGGGAAACATTTTTCTCCCCGGGCTCAAAACAACGTAAGAGCTTGTCGGATCGACGACGATATTATGATGGTTAATAAATTACAGGACAATGCAATGTTAATTGATAAATCACAAGACAGTGCAATGTTAGTTAATACACCACAGGAAAGTGGTATGTTAGTTGATAAATTACAGGAGAGAGCAATGTTAGTTGATAAAATGACAGGACAGTGCCATGTTAGTTTGTAAATTACAGGACAGTTCAATGTTAGTTGATAAATGACAGGACAGTGCAGTGCAATGTTAGTTGATAAATGGCAGGACAGTGCCATGTTAGTTTGTAAATTACAGGACAGTTCAATGTTAGTTGATAAATGACAGGACAGTGCAGTGCAATGTTAGTTGATAAATGGCAGGCCAGTGCAATGTTAGTTGATAAAATGACAGGACAGTGCCATGTTAGTTTGTAAATTACAGGACAGTTCAATGTTAGTTGATAAATGACAGGACAGTGCAGTGCAATGTTAGTTGATAAATGGCAGGCCAGTGCTATGTTAGTTGATGAAATGACAGGACAGTGCCATGTGAGTTGATACATCACAGGAAAGTGCAATGTTATACATGTAGTTAATAAATTACAGGACAGTGCAATGTTAGTTGATAAACTACAGGACAGTGCAAGGTTAGTTTATAGATTACAGAACAGTGGAAGGTTAGTTGATAAACTACAGGACAGTGCAAGGTTAGTTTATAGATTACAGAACAGTGCAATGATAGTTGATAAATTACAGGACAGTACAATGTTAGTTTGTAAATTACAGGACAGTGCAATGTTAGTTGATAAATTACAGGACAGTGCAAGGTTAGTTTATAGATTACAGAACAGTACAATGATAGTTGATAAATTACAGGACAGTGCAATGCTAGTTTGTAAATTACAGGACAGTGCAATGTTAGTTGATAAATTACAGGACAGTGTAAGGTTAGTTTGACAATTACAGGACAGTACAATGATAGTTTGTAAATTACAGGACAGTTCAATGTTAGTTGATAAATGGCAGGCCAGAGCAATGTTAGTTGATAAATGACAGGACAGTACTATGTTAGTTAATAAATGACAGGACAGTGCAATGTTATTTGATAAATGACAGGACAGTGCAATGTTAATCAATAAATGACAGGACAGTACTATGTTAATTAATAAATGGCAGGACAGTACTATGTTAATAAATAAATGACGGGACTGGGCTATGTTAGCTGATAAATGACAGGACAGGCCAGTGCAATGTAAGTTGATAAATGACAGGAAAGTGCTATGTTAGTTGTACAACGCATAGAGCTTGCTGTCAAGCGGGGATATGCGCTACACAAAATGTGACAAATGCTACTTATTATTATTATTATTATTATTATTATTATTATTATTATTATTATTATTATTATTATTATTATTATTATTATTATTATTATTATTATTATTACTATTATTATTATTATTATCATTATTGTTGCTGTTATTGTTGTTGTTGTGTGTGTGTGTGTGGTAGCCTATCCGTTCGAAATGTTCGGAGCCCCGAAGAGCGTGCTCTTCGCTAGGGCCACCGCCTCCCTTGGGTAGCGGGTGAGGCAGTCCAACCTCCCTGAATCCTCCCCGAAGAGATGCCACCGCCGGGCCTCCGTGGCGGGGCATCTCTGCAGCCAGTGCTTCAAATCTTGGGGCTCCTCGCTGCACAATGGACAGATTGGGTCCGATGTTTTGTCTATTCTATTTTTGTAGGCCCGAAGCCCAGAGAAATGACCGGTCCTGATTTTTGCCAGTAATGACTGGTCACTGCGGGACATAATAAGAGCCTCTCGTTTTAAGGAAAATGCCCTGTATACTTCCTTCGTCCGCGTGTGGCATATAGGGGGGTCTTTTGTAATTAGTTTTATCTGGGCGCACGCACTGTCATAAGTAATTTGGCGGCCTGGACCCGGCAGCGCTGTTGCCAGTTTGGCATTACTGTCAGCGAGATCGTTGCCGAGGATACCGCGGTGACCAGGGATCCACTGAATCGTGGGTTGAGGTATTGCATTATTTATGCGTAGTCGCATTTGGTCGAAGGATGGTGATGTTCCCACTAGTGCCATTCATAGTGATTGACTGTCGGTGAAGATAGCGACCGAGTTGGATGCATCGCACTCTTTGTCAATCCAGTCAATGGCCATTTCCAAGGCTCTCCTTTCTTCCTCGAAAGAGCACGTAAATATGGCGCCTTTCTCCCTCAATGTCTCGACAACGATAGGGTTGGACGGGTCCCCCGTTGTGATGACGACTCCAGCGCCGCCGTCCTTTGTTCCTGCCCTAGCCGAGCCGTCAGTGTAGATATTGTACTGTGCGCCAAGCTCTCGTGTTCGACGAACAGCAGCGCTTTGAATCTTCCCACTGGAGTCACTCCTTCCGCTTATGCCGTACAGGTGGGGGAAAATGATGTCAGGGTTGATTCCACGTTCCCAGGGCCTGGTTCGAAGTAAGTGATGAGCCTCCTCTCGCAGTCGAACAGATGTGGGCTCTTTTTGCTGACGTCTTCGGCCCTTTTTCGGAAATCCCTGCGTCCTTTTAGGCGTCTGTGCACTTGTTCCGTTGCCGCAATTCGTCGAGGGTGGTCGTTGTTCAGTCGGAGGGCCTTCTCTCTTGATCGGAGACAGTTAGCATTTATGGTGGACTGAATGCTTGGGACCCCCATTTCAGCTCGAAGTGCCTCGATCGGTGAGGACTGGGCTTGGGTCAAAACAAGAGGAGTGATGATCGCGCCAACAGGCAGCCTTCTGTGCTCCTCTTAATTTGTGGTGTTCCTGACTGTTTTAATTCCTGGATATTTTTTAAAGTTATAGATCTACCATCATGTGCATTTAGTTTCGGTGATTAATGTGATAACTTTGTCCTTGTTGTTGTTGTTGCTGTTGTTGCTTTTCTTCTTCTTCTTCTTCTTCTTCTTCTTCTTCTTCTTCTTCTTCTTCTTCTTCTTCTTCTTCTTCTTCTTCTTCTTCTTCTTCTTCTTCTTCTTCTTCTTCTTCTTCTTCTTCTTCTTCTTCTTCTTCTTCTTCTTCTTCTTCTTCTTCTTCTTCTTCTTCTTCTTCTTCTTCTTCTTCTTCTTCTTCTTCTTCTTCTTCTTCTTTTCTTTTTCTTCTTCTTCTTCTTTTTTTTTTCTTATATTATTATGATGATGATGATGATGATGATGATGATGATGATAAACCTCAGGGCAAGGGAGTTACTCACTGACGTATGTAGAGCAGCCTACTTTATTTATCCATTGATAAGACTTGTCAACGTCGGCATCTTTAACGGATATCTGGCAACTTCTGTCCTCCCCACAAAACTGGAAAACTCTAGAAAAGGAAAATGGGGAAATGTTTGGGGAGGAGGGGGGGGGGGGGGGCAGCAAGCAGCAAAACATGTTAGAACATAGGGGAATGTTTTAAGAAAATCTAATCAATTTTTTAGTAAGAGTTTTACGGCATTTGCGAAACAATTAGTTCATAAAAGTGCAATTGGAGAAGAAAAAAGTAGTTACAAGAGAGAAACAAACACAGAAAAAGAAAGAGGAGAGATAAGGGCGGCTCTTTTAATGTTAAAGTTAAACATTTCTCTGCTTGAATTCATTCTTTAAAAGTCGAACAGGCACAAACAGAGTGGGCGGGTGGCTGGCGGGTGCTCTGTTGTGGTTTGCTTCTTCATTCCTATCAAATACATAGGGTCGCTTTTAATGGAGTTTCCAGAAATCTTGACCAACACCAAAAGTGGGCATTGCCCTACCTTTAGGAGAGGTTTGGTTTTATTGGTGTGTATATTTAGTTTGGTTATCGAGAAAGCTCTCCTTGTATGTTAAAGAAAATGAACAAGGGTCCAAAAACTCTACCTTCGATTTGATCAAAATAGCATTTTTCGGGATAGCTCTCTTGTACTTAAAAGCGACCATATATAATAGCCTAGTCTTTGGCTCTCCTCCATCTTTTACTTGTATGTTACTAATGAGTAGCACCTCTAATCTTCGGCTGTTTCATGGCCTAAACATGTTGCAAGTGCCGTAAAACTCTAACGAAAACAAAAGAGACAAACTATTTATATTGACATCTGACAATCTGTAGAGAATAATTTTCTGTTCTGCCAAATTTTGTTTGCAAATTCCAACAGGAAGATAATTCCAACACATGTGCTGTGGTGACACTGAGATTTTGTACCCGATTCCATAAAAAGAAGAAATACCATCACACCCCAATAAAAAAACAAAACAAAGCAAAAAAAAAAACACAAAAAAAACCTCACAAAAAACCCAAGAAAACCCAACAACACACACACACACAAACCAAACCCAAAAGAAACTTACCCAACACAAAACAAAAAGACCGCCCCCCCCCCCACACACAAAAGAAACCCCATCTCTTCCTGCAACATCATCATCATAACCTTTCTCACCTTGCACCCGTTTATAGGCCACGAACAAACCTTTTCCACCTTTCTCTATTCTGGGATAGTCTCCTGATTTTATCCCGCGTCTTCCCACATGTTCTCAAGTTAAAAAAAATATTTTAAAAATAAAAAAAAACAACAACCCCACCCAAAAAACAACAACTAAGCAAAACCAAACCAAAAAGGGAATAATGCACAGTAAGCGCTGCACTTGCAAATTAAATGAAGACTGCGGAAATAATTACCATAATATTTTATTATTAATACAGTCAAAATTGTCCAAGACAGCTACTCATTGTCGAGGAGAAAAGTAATTATCTTAGACACGTGAAGGTCTTGGACAGTGTCAGTGGTTTTTAAAAATACATGTATGAAACAAACAATTTTTTTTGGGGGGGAAGCGTTTTATGGCGCTCAAAACTGCCTAATATGGTCATATTATCAGCGCGCAAGACAGAGTTTCAGTTGCCCGGGTGGCGCCGAAGCCCACTCTTATCGATTTTGGACCACCAAAGGATCTGTTACGTTCTCGACTTGCACTCGGGACCTCCGAACAGAAGGTTAGGTGTAGATCTTTCCTACCATGAGCTCAGGGGTGTGGCTGAAAGACAGCATGAGTAAGAAGGAGCCAAGGAGTAGCAGTAGAAAGACTGCAGAAAAAGTCAGGAGCCCAGAGGAGGAGGCAAAGGAGGTGAGGGGGAGGTGGAAGAAAGTGGAGACAAAAGCAGACAACAGAACATTGTTAGAGAGCAGGAAAGGATGTGAAAGGAGAACATTTTTAGGGAAACAAATTTTTCGTCTGTATCCGGATTCGAACCCACGACCTATCGAATGAGAGGCGAACACCTACCGATCGTGCAAAAGGGCAAACCCTTTTACCTGCATTTTCCTTTCTCATAGTGTTCACATTTGCGCGCACAGCTCTCTGGGTTGGACGCCGACATACGTTGGACCGGTATGAAATTCCGATACACCTGGTTGATCATCTTATCATACTTGGCCAGAGCAACCTCTGTTGGAGGATGAAGTCATATTATTATAAGTACATGTGTTGCTGCTGCTGCTGCTGCTGTTGCTGCTGCTGCTGCCGCTGCTGCTGCTGCTGCTGCTGCTGCTGCTGCTGCTGCTGCTGCTGCTGCTGCTGCTGCTGTTGGTGCTGCTGCTGCTGCTGCTGCAACAGTGGTGGTAGTGGTAGTGGTAGTGGTAGTAGTAGTGGTAGTGGTAGTAGTACATTGCAGTAGTAGCAGCAGCAGTAACTGTAGCAGCTACTGTTACTACTACTACTACTACTACTACTACTACTACTACTACTACTACTACTACTACTACTACTACTACTACTACTGCTGCTGCTGCTGCTGCTGCTGCTGCTGCTGCTGCTGCTGCTGCTGCTGCTGCTGTTGCTGCTGCTGCTGCTGCTGTTGCTGCTGCTGCTGCTTCTGTTCAATCTCGTCATTAACCGTTATCCACAAACGCAACAAAATTCCGAGCCCCCAAAATCAATTTAAGATCTTTTGGTGAGAAAAAAATTCTCATAGACGTTTCCTTACCCCAGGATGTGAGAGAAATTTATAATGAATCCTAAAACATCTAAACGATTGCTCAAGACTCGTAATTTATTTAATTCTTAGCTGTAGTGTGTTAGCAAGTGCTGATATGTTTTGTGTTTACTCCTGTCCTCAAGTGTATATAATTAGTGTATGGTTGTGATGGTTCTTCTTTTATGTGCTTGAACTAGTTTTTCCTGATATTGTGAAATATTTTACTTGGTGTGAATAAATTATTACTTTTCAGTGATCACGTGACTGATGTAAAGCGCTAGGAGCTTAAACTCGTATGGGATAGAGTGTTATTATTATTATTATTATTATTATTATTATTATTATTATTATTATTATTATTATTATTATTACCGTTAATACTACCACAACAACAAGAGCTACACCAAAAGTAGCCCCTTTTAATTTTTTTCGAACTACTTGATTTTGCGAAAGAACACAAAAATAACAACCATAAAAACAAAACGACACCCTCAAAAAGCAAACAAACAAACAAACTTAACAAATAACAACAAAACTAGTTTAAATAATCAATGATGTAACGATGTTTTGAAATGCTTACTTTGATCATTTGGATTGTAAACTAAATCACCGCTTATACCGACAATGTCTGTTAAGGTAATTGTCTGATTTCTTCGGGTGAATGCTTGGTACTTGTATCCAGTGTTCGTCGTCTGTTGGGGAGAAAACAAGAGAAAAATATCACACGCTCGGCAAACTGCTACTTTAGAACAACAAAGTTCTATCTGACATTTTTGGCCGTTTTGAGTTACTAAGGCCATGAGGTTATAAACCAAATTTTTTTATCTGTTCTATGAAAATCGTAAATTTTTTTCGGAGTTGTTTTCAAGATATTCAAAACACTGCATTTGAAAAAGCTACCCATATTTATTATTGTGAGGCTCCAAATTTATCCAAACTAGATCGAGGTACTGAATTGATAGAATATTGTAATTCTATTCTCGGGTAGCGAAACGTAAACTACGGGTAAGATATCGTAGCACTGGCTAAAATTATAACTGTGATCACAAGATATCGTAGAACTTGCTAAAATTATAACTGTGATGCATTCACTCAAAAACATAATCTATTATTTTGGAAGCAAAAGTAAGGGTAAAAGAGGAAGAGAAGGCAAGAGGAGAAGGGAGATACCTAACAGAAGATGGGCACAGGGCATAGAAACTTGGCCTCGAACTAAAACAATCGTGGCAGGCAGAATGGCAAGAGGCAAAGACAGACTGTTTTATTACTGAAAGACCTGGGTAACTGCATGTGCCCATCTGCTGGAAAAGCTAACACGAAGAAGAAAAATGGATCATTAAAGAAAAATAAATCTGGAAATAAAAATTAATTTGAAAATCGTTTCGCTTGTTGATAGGTTGTTGTCTGTTGTAGTGAAAACAAAAGTAAAATTTTAGGTTTGAGACAAAAATTTGAAAATAAAAATGACAAATATAAATCGGCTGCTAAAGTTTGGTGACTTCCAAAGCTTGAATGTTTTTGGGAGCTGTAGATTTACCATATTGTGTCTTCAATCAACGTTTTTTCCCCAGTAAACTCCTCATAGCAATGTTTTTATAAGTGGGCATACTGTGTGCTAAGCCAAATAAATACAAATTCGTGAAAAATTGCCAAATGGGAAGAAAAATGCCGTTTTCTCGTTTTTGATTATTTTGACGAGTGCCTTATTTCAAACACGATACCTCCCACTAGTCTTCATCACAGCGTTATCACACAAACGTAACGCATTTACGACATCAACACACACAATAAACACAGTTATGACCTTTGTGTTACAAAAGAGACGAAATGACGACATTAATCATTGCAAGGAAAAAGACAAAATGAAGGCAACATGAGCTCACACATTGTGAGGATACTCGAGGTTCGGCGTCCTCTTACTCTGATGTTGTATCTCGAGCCCGGGTTAATTTTTTAAAATTTCAGTTGGAAGGAAATTTGAAACTTTGTCCGGGTGGCGACAAAAGCCTTCTCTTATTGGTAGTGGACCACAAAAGGATCTTTAAGGTGCGCACGTGGTACACGGGACCTCCGAGATTTTTCGCCCATATCCGTGAAGGCTATGCGTTGGATTTTACCAAGAAAAAGATCAGGCGCGAGGCTGAAAGACGGCAGTAAGAAGGAGTCAAGGAGTAGCGGCAGAATGGCTGCATTAAGAGACTGGAACCGAGAGAAGGTGGCAAAGGAGGTAAGGGGGTGGGGGCAGAAAGTGGAGACGAAAACAGACGAGTAGACGATAGAAGATTGTGTTAGAGAGCAAGAAAGGAGGTAAAAAGAGGTCATTTTAGAGAAGAACATTTTCTATTATGTTTGGAATCGAACCCGGTACCTATTGAATTAGAGGTGAACACCTTAACCTCTCGACCACGAGAGATCCCTTCCTGGGTTCTCCTTGGCAGGCAGCGGCAAAGATACCGGCCTCTTAAATGATAAATTAATTGTGTCCATGGGAGAGTATGATCAGTCAACCGCTAATTTCTTTAATTTCTTGTTTAAATTATACTTTAAGGACTTTGCTCTCACAGAATGCTGTAAAAATGGACGAGAAACTCTCAGAAAGCGAGAATCCATGTTGCCAATGTATTTTGAATCTGCAGTTGTTTTAAAATAATTTTAAAAAACATATTTTAGAAAAATGTTAACGCCATTGTATTGGTCTAAAGCCCCTTTCAGAGCGGTAAGCTATTTAAGAGGCGAGACCTCCGAGATAAACGTCCATCTCCAATAGTACTACAGCTTTTTAAAATACTCGTGAAACAGCTCAACTTAAGAATACACCATGGGGGAATCAGACCAAGTTCATCCACACTATATCTGGCGGCAACCTCTGAAAATTTTTAACTTAATTGGCTTCAATCAATCAATCAATCAATCAATCAATCAATCAATCAATCAATCAATCAATCAACTGACAAATCAAACAATCAACCAATCAACCAATCAATCAATCAATCAACCAATCAATCAATCAATGAACTATCAAATCAAATAATCAACCAATCAATCAATCAATCAATCAATCAATCATTCAATCAATAAGTCAGTCAATTAAAGATAATAAAAAGGCAATGGGGTTGGAAAGAAAAGTACCATATTATGGAGGGCGATCCCGGTTATCATAATAGAAATCTGCTTCTTGTTGATGGCGTTCACAAGGGCGTCAAAAACGAAGTGGTCGTCATTTTGGTCTTTGTAACCTGAGAGAAAGGAAACGAGCGTCATTGAGCAAACTACGACTACACCAATTTAAACCTCTAATATTTTCTCCGTAGAGCAGTGTTTGCCAACCTCGGCAATATCGCCACTTCGCCACCTCGAATTACACGTTCTATCTGACATTTTTGGCTGTTTTGAGTTACTAAGATCTGGAGGCCAGAAAGCAATGCTCTATCTGTTGTACCAAAATTGTAAGGTTATTCGGAGTCGTTTGTCAAGATATTTAAAAACATGCATTCTTAAAAGCTTGACCTGATGCGAAACTCAAAATCTTTTACGTCAAATTTCTCAAAACTAGGCACTGAGCAGATAGAACTTTGTAATTAATTCTGAGGTAGTGACTAATGGGCGATTCGACAATTTAGGTGGGCAGTAGGGATCATCAAGGCAATGGCAGATATTACATGCATTTAATTAAAATCCCGTTTAGGTATACATGTGAATGGGCGACGAGCATTTTAGCCTCTTCAGGTGGCAAAAGTGGGACATGAAAATGAAAAGGTTGACAAACACTGAGTGATATAAAGCTGCAGGCAATCCCTGTTCAGATTACCTTACGTAAATGGACCGCAAATCAATATACTGTATTATTTCTTTTTAATACCCACTTCGCCAGATCAAAACATATGAATGTTAAGAATTAATTAGTCTGTGTCCAAACGTATGGCTTATCAGTATAGGCTACTAGTTATAGAGGTACTTAATGGTGTATCTGTTTTTACGGAAGCAATGACGTGCACACGAGTCCTTTCAGTTAGAACATTATTTCCACGATGACACCATGGGGCTTATTTATTCATATTTTGTATTTATCTGGCTGTCCTTATGTAAGAGTTCCTAACAGTGAAATTTGAGTTCTTTTGACTTAACGAAAATGCCTTCTGGTTTTGTTGCATAGACTGTTCTTAAAACCCTCAACAAGTTTTTGCCTGGTTGGGGGATAAAGCCAGTGCCACATGCCAATATCACTCTCATATGTGAGGTATCGTGTTGAAATTAGGTGCTCGTCAAAATAATGAAAAAGAAGAAAACGACATTTTCCAACTCGTTTGGCAATCTTTATTGAATTAATATTTTTTTGGCGCAACACATTTTAAGACCATTTAAAAAGACATTGCTGAGAGGCTTTTTACTGAAAAACGTTGATTAAAGGCACACAAATAGTAAATTTAGAATTTCCAAATGCTTTGGAGGTCACCAAACCTTGGCAGCCGTTTTTTTGATAATTTTTCCCCTGCACTCAGGTGACCCCCTCTCCCTACTTGCTTCAATCGGAAATATCTCTATTTGCCTTCAAGACTGGGGGGTGTTTTTTTTTTCATCGAAAGCAAGACAAATGAACAAGATTTAAGATGGTGCCAATAACTCCAGAAGCCCCAAAATTGACAAGCGCCTGATGCCACAACCCGTGACAATATATTCACAGAGAGGTATAAGGTGACCAATTCCTTGTAACCTGTAAAGCCCATGTCCTTTGTTATCGTAGTTGTTTTTACCCCCCCCCCCCCAACCCAATCGACACAATTCATAATATGAATTATAAGTAGGCAGGCTTTTGACCCCGCTTGTCAGGGCCAACCTGGGCTGACAGGGACACACATCGACACAGAAAGACAAAAATTCTCGATAAAACATCCTTCTCCACACTCAGGAATCGTGATCGGGTTTCTTGCATGCGACAACCAAGCGCCAATGCCCATTAGCGCGATCGAATCGGTTGGTTCTGTTCGGTTTGCTCGCCAGATTGGGGGGGGGGGGGGGGGGCACAAAGCGGCTATCATGTCACAAACCGAACACCCGACTCTTTGCCTGGAAAAGAAACGCGTTTGTTTTCAGGCGACGAGTCGGGCGATCGGTTGACAAACGGTTTGTCGATCCCCCAATGGGCGTCCGGTATGATTCTCAGTGCCCACTTGGCTGAACAGTTCTCTTATACAAACCAATCGCCCGACTCGCAGCCTTGAAAACAAACGCATTTGTTTTTGAGGCCGCGAGTCGAAAGATCGGTTTGCACCACGATGGTCGCTTAGCGCCCTCAATCTGGCTAGCCTCGCCTACCAAACCGAACCGATCATGCCAATGAGCAGTGGGTATAACCGCTACACCACAGACGCCGGGTGGCGTGGGTAACCTTGTGGTTATACGGGGTGCCCATTGGGGGATCGGGTCGGGTCGGGTCGGGTCGGTTTGCTAGCCAGACTGAGGGCACAAAGCGGCTATCGTGGCACACGCTGATCGCGCTCGACTCGTCACCTAAAAAACAAACGCGTCTGTTTTTAGGCGACCAGTTGGGCGTTCGATCCGACTCGACCGGACCCGACCTGATCCCATCCGCAATGGGCACCCCGTAATAGGCTACCGGACTAGTAATAGTGAGATTGTGAGTTCGGAATTTGAGCCTCCGTTAGGTCCGACGTTGCGTCCTTGTGAAAGGCACTTTACATGAATTTCCCACTTGGCACCGTCCTTTCCGAGATGGACGTTAAACTCGGAGATCCTGTCTCTTAAATAACTTAATAGTGTTGATAAGAGCCTTAAACGTCTTCTATTTCACCATTTCTTTTTCACAAGCGCCTGTAAGCCCACGTCTAAGCTCTCATTGTGTCTGTGGCTCGCAGCGTTGCACTCACCTATTTTGTATTCCACGGGGAACAGGCGAAGTATTGCTTGCAGTTTTGACCCAAAGACGACGAAGTCAGAGACTTTCACCCTCAGCTCTGAAATGGCCCCGACCTTAGCAATCTGTGTCCTGAGCTCACGAAGAATTGTGGCATTTCTCGCCTCTTCTCCACCCGACGAGAAGTCACTTCGGGGTGCTGAGGGAAAAAACAACAACCCAAAGCCTTAATGACGGATTGTAGTGATTGCGACACAATGCAAACAAAGGCAAGCTTTCGAAATGACATAATATCGCCAGTGTCTCTCCACAGTCGCCGAGACAAAGTCTCTGTGTGTTTCTCGATTAAGCCGTTATTCGAATAAAGACACCCACGGATGTCTTTTAATCTTATAAGAACAATTTCGTTCTGTGTTCTTATTTCCTCTCTAGTCTTCTTCATTTTAGTGGGTAAATATTTTGCGGCGCTCGCAATTACATACGGTCATATGAACGCGAAGGACGCATTAAGCATTTTCAGTTTGGTAAAAATGAATTTTGAATTTTGCTTTGGTGGCAGCCGGAGCCTACTCTGATCGATTTTAGGACAATCAAGGGGTCTTTAACGTGCACAACTTGTACATGGAACCTCCGAGAAATTCAGCCCTTATCCGAGAAAAGGCTGGGAGTAGATCTTGCCTACACTAAGATCAGGAATGGGGCTGAAAGACAGCAGTAAGAAGCAGGCCAAGTAGTAGCTGTAGAAGGGCAGTAGAAAAAGTCAGACACCCAGAGGAGGGGGCAAATGAGGTGAGGGCGTGGGTAAAAGGCAAGAGAAGAGGTGAAAGGAAACACATTTAGAGAAGAACATTTTCCGTCGCTGTCAGGTTTCGAATCCAGAACCTATTGAATGAGAGGCGAACACCGTGTCTCTAGATCACGAGAGCCCCCTTTCTAAATAAAAAAAACCCAACAACACCAAAACAAAACAAAACAAAACAAAAAACATCGAATTGCCACGTCATGGTTCTTATTTGGGAGCTCTTTTTTTTCTTTTTCTCAAACTTAAAAAATATGATTTACACACACGCGGAGTGACTCTGAAATAGAGAGTCATACAGCAACAAAAATTGAAGAACACCAAATGAATTTCACCAAAGCCAAACAGCAAAACCGTTCATCGGAAATCATTGAGCTGGTCAGAGCCAAACAATACACCCCCCACCCTTTCCAAACAAATCCATTGGAAAATAAAAAGAAAACAAACCCTAACCAAAACAAACGACTAATTGTTCACCCCACCCCCAGCAAGATAGATAGATAGAGAGAGAGAGAGATAGAG